AATCTGGTGCTAAAGGCATGAAGGATTCCTGAAGAGCCTTTGTTTTTTCATGTTGGAAGACTGAATAATCTAGATTCCAACTACAACAAAATAGAAGCAGCAACAGCGTAGATGTGTTGACAACCAAGCTATGGGCAGGCAAAAGCAGCCCTTAGAGGCTGGTTTTCAGAGGAAACCTTTAGACATCTTTATTTTTCAGCCACCACTGGAACAAGCTACTTGATCTGAGGGAGGGTCTTCTTCATTCACTTAATCCTTCCAGGAAATACCTTCACAAACCTTCTAAAAGGTATCTTTCTTAGTTAATTCCAAATTTAATTAAGTTGACAATCAAGACTAGCCATAACAATTGCACTATGATTTAGTTATTATTTTAGAGGACATTTATTTCCACTTATAAAAAATGTTTAACCTAAAAGAGTCTGTCATGTTATTCTAGCAACATCCTCATTGTTGGTTTCAAAAGACCACATTGAGTCACTGACAAATTGTGGACAGTGGTTGATGTCCTGAGTGAACGCATGTTGTTGACATGGGAATGACCAGATCAAGGTACCAATACCTCAGGTCCAAATAGCAAGACCTTCCCTATGTCAGACTTAGAAGAATAGCAGAGTCCTCTGGTCTTAGTATGGATGCTATAAACATTGATCTTTAGTTAAAAGCACTGTAAGAAGAAACTACCAACCACTGCTTCCTCCTCATCAATGGTTGCAACCTGAAACCATTGCATACAGAGACCTCCTACCAAGATTAACTAACATACATCCCCCTCCTCCTCAGTCAGCTGTACACTGTAAACTTGTCTTCTCACTTAATGGTTCTCACTTAGTGGTTTATAATAAACACCAGTAGAGCATATGGCTTAACAGATGTATTTCTATGTGTTGATCTATTCTTCATTCCCTCAGCACTGCAGTCAGGTCAAGTCCAAAACCATCAGGTCAAGACAATAGATACTATGTAGTGTTGCTGAAGCACAGGGCATGATATTTGAACAATGATGAAATCACTTAATCGCCATAATGTTTCTCTACCATTAAGTAATCCATGAACTTAGTGTCAGCCTTAGACAGATAGATCAGTTCAACAAATCCAGCAAATACAATTTTTCAACATTAGACTCATTTAACCAAAATGAGAATGGAAGGAAACCATAAAATACAACTTTTAATGAGTTTATTATCAATAATACTAAAACAATTGTATACAATGCAGATTAATTGCCTGTAAAATTATATTAAGTATTCTAAATGACTTGCAAGACTATGATTTAGCACAGAACAAGATTATTATCTCCAGTTACTGACAGCTTTGCTTCCTAAACTCTCATATCAAAGGATACACTCCCTGATATAATCTTTGACAGCCTAAAGTTCTAGAACATTGTTATAACATGATTGTCAGTACACATCAATTCAATACAAACTTGTGGACATTTTAGAAATTACCTAGTAAGTGTAAAGAAAAAAATAGAAAAAAAAAAAACTCAGCCAAAGGATCATGACACCCAGAAATGGCTAATGCATGGGCCTTATTGAATCCTCAACCATAATATTTATCATAAAGGTGGTAATTTTTTCCTAAGAAGCTATGACAAGATCTATATGGGGATAATTGAACATAGTGTTTTCAATTTACTCTTGAAATGGCTCAGCAATACACATACATGAGTATCTGCATACATGTAAGTGGGTAGAAGACCAATCAAGTAATATATGAGTAAGTAAATTTAATTGGTTAATTCATATAAGGGCCATGTAGAAATTGCTTGTAGCTTAAATTATTTAAAAATAAAATATTACAAACATTTAGACACAAATACTATTTTATATGCAGATTCCAATGGAGTTGAATTATTCTTTCAGTCCGTCTGAAGGATGACTTCACTTATAAATGCCTTTCTTGTCTAGTCCAATAACACAAATTCCAACATGAGGAAAAACACCAACATCTTATTCCTTATTTTAACTTTGTATGAGACCACGACATAAATGTTTTGACTAAAGCAAAGCAGTGGTACATTTGGGATATGTTATTTAATATTGAACATATTCTGCCATCTTATTGCTGATTCCCACGGGATCTTTATATTATATCACAGCTCATGAAACCCTAGATTTCCTATAACTCCCCACATGAGAATCTGTTACATTCAAGACTTGGGGAATTGAGGAAGATCTGAAGTATTCTTTCTTTATTAAGACTTTCATCCAGGAGAACTAATCTGAGAATAGCAATATGCCATTAGGGGTTGTTTTATTGCTATCTCCACTTAACAGGAAAATTTCTTAGTGAGTATATTTTGCAGCACATTGATAATGTAGCTTGCAGGGTCCATAGCTGGGTGAGAGTGGTGATCATTTTTCTCCTCTGATAGTATGGATAGTACATTCCAGCACCATATATGCTGGCCATGAAGTATGTTTCTATTTGAACATTAACTCTATTTCCCCATATTTAATCACCTAGGTATGTAAATCATCATCCATAAAGTCTTACTATATGGGAAACTAATAACACTGGATACTAATAGTCTGTGATGCCTGGGAGGTTCTCTGGAACCTCTTTGTCTGGAGAGATGGCTCAGTTGGTGAGAACACTTGCCATTCTTTAGGGCTGTTGTTGAGTCCCAGCTCCCAAACGATAGCTCACCACTCCAGTCCTTGGGGGTCTGATGCCCTCCACTGACCTCCTCAGCATGGCATACACATAATACATAGACATACACACAGGCAAAGTAACCATATACATAATTAAAAAACAAGACTTTAATCCACAAGGATGTAAGAAGTACTTGTATAGATTGTCTGGAGCGAATTGAGTTACAAATGAATTTGACATAAAAACTACTTCATGGAAGTGCTTTTTGAAAAATTTAAAAAAACATACTGAATATTTTAAATTTATATTTTTCTAGGGAGGAAGAGAGAAGAATACAGCATATCTTTTGTTTTTACTTTCTCTTTTTAAAAATAAATGTGAAAATGGATACGGTATTTTGGTACCAGATAGAAAATGGTCTTCTACTCTCAATCTGAAGAGTAAGAGCCTCATGTGATTTTCCACTGTCATAGTGGTCAACAGTCATGGTTTACAGTTTAGACCCAGTTCTGGGAAGGCCTAGAATCCAGGTGGGTTCCTTGGCTGATGTTTCAAATCACTAAGTTAGTGATCTATTGTTTCAGAATGGACAAATTTCCTGCATTTTCTCCTTCCACAAAATCAAGAGATTCTTTGAACAGGAGCCAGTTTCTTATCTTGATGTGACATGGTGATTTAAAGATGGAAGGAGAGTATAAACCCCGGATTTCTATAAGGGAACCTCTGTATCGTGAATAGTGGGCTGGAGGCTAAGAAACATTTACCACAATTTTGAAACTGTCCTAAATCAATGTGGTATCTCATACAAGCACAAAACTACGATACTTAGCTTTTCAAGTTATGAAATTCTTTCGAGAGTCCCTTCAAGCTTCAAATGTTTTGTTATTCCAACAGTCATGGATTTTTCACTATGTAGCCACAAAGCAAAATTGCCAGAGCCATGTTTACTTTATTTACAATTTGTACCCCTTACAGAATACAGCCCCCCCCAAAGTCTTCAAGACTCACATCTTAATATCATTTTAATCCATGCTGTTAATGGACACTTTATAGCATCATATAAAGCATTTGGAAACATACTCATCCATCGATTCCTTTCCTTCACATTTCAAAGTCTGTTTGCATTTCCCAAGCAAATGAGCATTTGTGCAAGGAAATAAACTAACATATGCCCAACTGCCTGCTTCAAGGAAATTATTATTTGCTAATAGAAATGTTCATTTGAAATACTGGGAAGCAAATACCTCCAGGAAATTTGACAAGATTCGTGTTGAAGGAATCTGTTCCGTTTGACTCCTGCTTGCAGTTCCCTCATTACTGATTTTGGATCCAATTTCTAGAAATTCAAAGAGAAAAACCCAGATCATGGTGCCAACTTCCTTGTTGGCCAACAGATTGTTTTATTCTGCCTTTTCTGCATTTGTCACGGTGCTGTTTTTGTTGATTTAGACACTTTTTGCTTCTTTTCACCCATCTCTCCATATAAAGTAAAATATGCTTATGGAGAAAGAGAGAGAGAGAGAGAGAGAGAGAGAGAGAGAGAGAGAGAGAGAGAGAGAGAGAGCAAACAAAGGGCAGGAAATTGAAAGAGGTAAAGGAAAGGCATATTGGAGCGTTTGTGGGGAAGAAAGGGAAGGGATAAATATTGTAATTCTATTATAGTCTCAAAGGCTAAAAGAAATAGTTTAGAATACACTTGTATAGAAATTTTTAACATGACATTCCTGACTGGTTGCTGTGACTACTTTTTCTCTTGCATCACTCTGAATGTTTGTATAACTGGATGAAATCCGCATGAAGGACTGAAACATAAATGTATTTATCTGTTTCAAAAAGTGACTTTATTACTGTGAGAAAGGATCATCTGCTAAGTGGTATGTGAACAGGCCTTCTTCACAAACCATGAATTTATTCATCCACTGGATGTCTGTAGAGCATCTTCTTGGTATGTGAATTGAATAAAGTATAAAAGAAAAACAATAGCAATATATTAGATGTCTGTGACATGAAGATGATGATCTATGATATATATACCATATTCTCCCCCACACATGTATTATATTTACAAATGAGTAGTGGAAAATGTTCTAAGAGAACTGGTGGATTCATAAGAATGCCTAAGTTGATTTAAAGAATGTAAAGTTATCTTAGCACAAAGGAATGGGTAGAAGAATTCTGGTAAGTGAATGAAGTCTATGCAATGGTCCTGTGGCTGGAAGAAAGAGAGCAAATGAAAACGACCGATATGACCAGAATCATGATATTAAAATGAAGGTTATGTTGATATATATTGCATTGACCTAGACGGATATCCAACATATAAACAAACATAAACATTTTTCCTTGAACTGTGCTTTCAAAGCTGCACAAACTCGTAAGTGCTTTTTCAGGCGACCATGGCTTCTAATAAATTCTTTGAGCAGAGCATCGGACTTTCTTCCTGCTCTGCAGCTCACAGACAACTTAGATTTCTGAGGCAGTACCCCCGGGACAGAGCTCCAAGTTTTCTGGTGCATCTTTATGCTGTGAACCCTTTGACCCTTGGGGACTCATGTGTTGGATTTCCAGCACCATAAACAGAGACCGTCTCATATGTCCCAGCTGCTCCCTCTAGTGGACCATTATTCAGCTCTCTGAAGACTTGTCAGATAAGGAAGTTATGTGGGGGTCATACTAGAGGAAGAACGTGTCCTAAATCTGTCCTTCTTTTATTTCTCGTATTTTTTGGTACATTAAAGAGAGGGCTAGAGATTTGTTGAGCTCCGACCACAAACTAATATCTATCTGATCTCTTTATTTGAACCTCTCCTACAGTCTACTGTCTGTGGGCTCTGTTCACACCATTCAGTTGATGGCTTGTTTCATCCTTTAATATATCATTGAGATATACCTTGACTTACTGAAGTTCAGTTTCTTTTAAATAAAGTACTAATCGTTTTTTTCCCTGCAAGCATATCAGCTAACTTGCTTTCTGATGAACTTCCCTTAAACTAATATACTTAAATCTAGGGGCTCTCTGTTGTTGTTGATATTTAAGATATCTCTGCATAAACGTCATTGCCCTTAGCCCCTGATTCTTAATTGTGTAACTTCATATGCATGCTTTCAGCAACATGGGAACTGGAAAAGGAGTTGTGCAGTTGAGTCTAGCTCCAACTACTGGAAACAGTAATACCAGGATCATATGTATTCATGATTCTGAAGCAATTTTCAGTGGTCAAGCTGTAGTTATAGGTGCTATGAATATTGCTAAGTATTTCTTAGAAGATATATTTCAGAACTTACCAGGGAAATAGGTTACTCCTATTCATCCAAGATAAAATATGTGTGTTCATGTATGCATGCATATGAGTCACATGTATAGTCATAGAAGTGTGAATGTCCCCACATACATGTCTTTCTAGAGCTATGCTTAACAGTTCACCAGGTCCTGGTCATGTTGGTTGGATATGCATTATAAAGGTCACTCCTTCTCTAATGAAGCACCATCCAAAGATGCTCATTTGTGTAATATCCAATGTTTTGACAACTCAAACCACCCCGTTCTCAACCCTTGCTGAAAGGAGAACATAAGGGGTACCATCTTTCTGCTATGTTTTATTTTTCTTGGACAATACACCCAGAACATCTTGGTTTTGTGTGCTTCAGAGGTTTGGAGACTCCTGGTCCCTGAAATGTTCACAGAATTTGGGAGGTCTGCATTGCCAGGACATTTGTCCCATTTCTTATTTCTGGATTGGCTGATATTTTCACTATTTACCAAGAATTCTCTGAGCAGTGTATATGCACTATATTGTGATAAAAAGGAGACCATGAATGGTTTCTTTTGAGATAATCTAAGATTTAAACACCACAGAACTGGCATTACTGTGCAGCTGGTAACTCTCAATTTGATTACAGGATATCTTTTTCTGTCTAAGGAAAGGTTTTCAGATCAGCCTCTGGGTATCAGAGAGTGTTACAAAGGCATGTTATATACTGTGTAAATGCTCCTTGATTCAAGCTCCTATTTGATGAACTGTGTGAATGTTTTTACTCAGTGTGTACTCAAGTACCAGGTAGACAAGGTCAATTTTATGGCCTGGCCTCACTTTATTACAACCCATTTTCTAGTAAACAGTACCACTTAGTAGCCATAACACAGTGAGGTATGTTCTTATAGAATTATGTTCTCATATACATCTGGGCATAGGCACATACACATTTTCGAAAGGGGGTTGAAACGGACTTGTTCTGAATGTGTCATTGTAATAAAACATCAGCGATTGTATGTGCTATAAGGGAAAGAGGTTTACTTTGGCTTCAAAAGTCTAAGCTTGGGTGGTCATGCTGTGAGAGCTTCATTCTGGGTCACAACAGAATGAAACGCAGAGCAGAAATGCATGTCTGAGAGCAGTGTAGGCAGCTAAACCAGATGGGCTAAACATGTGGTATGGGCTCATTTCATAATGGCCTGCTCTCTGGTAGTTAGGCCACTCTGTGAGAACTCGCTTACTTTCCCAGTAAGCACATCAATTGCTTTTGGGTATAGAATCTCCAGGTCTACCTCTCTAAGGTTCAACTATCTCTGGATATGTTGGAGAATAGGTTTCCTCTCCACAAACATTTGAATGCCATAACGGGTGCAAATGCTAGTGGAGTGAGAACTAATAATTCCTATTGTGGTCCATGATAGATATACTGCACCTTCTTTTACATTAAGCATCAGTGAACTTATCCATTTGCATCTATATGACAGGCCTTGCCATGTAGTCACTCCTTCTGAACTTCAATTCTGCTAGAAGGAAGCTACCCATCCATAGCGTACATTTCTCCTCCACTGAGGGAAAACAGATTTACAGACATGTTCTAACTATCTTTTGACTAATAAAAAATGATGCATGATGACTTTGTATTAATGAAGAACTAGACCTCTACTATGTTACTTGAAACAGTCTGTTCATTGTTATAACCATGTATCCAGTATCCCTTGCATGAGATACTCTGTATACTTACCACAAAGAAGTCATAGAAAACATTAACCATATCTTTCTGGGTTGTTTTGTCACTGTGCAGTTTCATATGTTTATTAGTAAGAACAGATTTTTTGTAATGCAAACCTGAGTAATTTGTAATTATATTTTGAGAGAATAGCTAAGCAGGACTATTTAGACTAATACTATTAATTTCTCATCAATATTAATGACTGTATGCCCAAACTCGTATGTATGTATATCTATTTATACAGGAAGTATGGCAGAAAAGGAAACATTTCAGAAGGATGAAAAGCCCACTTCTCAGCAGCAGTTTGTGGCTCTCCATAAAGCATGCAGTCCCCGAATGTGAAACCACGCAGAACATTTTAAAGATAATTCTTACATGAATATCGTAGGAACTAGAATTGAAGAAAAAGCTTAACACTGACAGTTATATGAAGAATTCCAGAGGCAATCAATCGCACATGAGGGAGAATTAATGGCCAGTGAAGAAACAAATGGGAGAGTTGGTGTGCTGTGTTTGAACTGACCTACTCTCCACGTGATGAATTTAATGATTTGCATGCTTAGCCATGGAGGACTTTTCAAACTGCTCAGAGTGAACAGGCTTCCACAGCTTAAGATGTACTGGTGGGCAGCACAGTATAAATAGTGCTGCTGTTGAAGATAAGTTATGATCTACTGTTGTCCGCCTTTCACTGGGACATTATCAACAAGATCTCCCTTTATCATATTGCTCTTTTCTGAGAATCGTTCCAACTATGCAAATATTCGTTTCAGTTAGTTTAGGCATTCTGAGCAGATATAGCATCTTTATCCAGAAGACAGGAGCAGTACAGTAGTGGATGGTCTGAAAGCCTTGTTCTCAGTTTTCTCCAGGCTCTTATAACCCAAAAGAAGACTTGCTCTCATATGCTGTCTTCAGGCTGTGTAGGGCCTGTACTTATTATGCATTTAATATATAAATCCTGTATTTGTACTTACTATAGAGGAAGCATCGTTTTTTATTTTTATTCAGAATTATCTTGGTTTTAAAAGTTTGTATAACAAGACACACGCATGTACATCTAAATATATAAAACTTTTGTTCTTCACAAAAATTCAGTGGGTCCTATAAGTGTCCTCTGCATTTTGTAAACGGAAAAAGAGACCCAAAAATAATGATAATAATGGAATATCAGAATTCATATGTAAGCTATGGTGTTTCATTCAAAGGCCACTGTATTAGTCAGTTTCCTGTCTCCATGACAAAGGTGTGAGAAAATGAACTTAAAGGATTGCTGTTGTTTTGCTCATAGTCTCAGAGTTTTCAGGTCCCAGCTGGCCTACCCACTGATTCTATGGGGAGACAGTATGCTAAAAGCTGGAATGAGACTAAGGCTGCTGCTTACTGCATCCTCCAGGAAGAGAAGCAAGTAAGCCTTTGCTGGCAGGCTTCCCCCTTCTGCTTTTGCTCTATCGGTCCCCCAGTCTACTGGGAGGCAATACTAGTACTTGGTAGGTCTTCTCCATGTCAGCTGCTCTCTCACACACCAGTCCAGAAGTGTCCACACAGACAAACCCAGGGAGTATGCTTTCCTAATGTCTTAGGCTTTCATCAGTACAATCATGTTCCCAATGGAGACTGATCATCACATCCACTCTCTTGTTTCCTTTGCCACACAGATTCCCAACACTTACTGGCCTAAAGGAAGAGGCCCAGATCCCCATCCCTGGGTTTTCACTGCTAGTGGAACACTGCTGCTGCTGAAGCCTGCTTTATACAAAAAGAAATGATGTAACTTTTGTTGTTGCTCTTCTCAAACTTTTGCTTGTTTGTTTTTAATTTTTAAATACTTTTAAAAATTTCATTTTCTTGGGATTATTGGCCAAAAATTCTATATTTAAAGTATAAAATATGATGGTAGATCATATGCTTACACTATAAAGATACTGCTATGAACAATTTGTTGGAGCCATGACCTTACATCGTTAACTTGTTCTCGTGAGAATACTGAACACAGACTCTTTGTCTATTTACATTTAATTAATATTAGTCATTTTGCTGTGCATTATAATTCCAGGACTTATAACTGTAGTAGCCGCATGTTGACCAATAGCCTGTCATTTTCCTGTCCTAGCATCTAGTAACTCTTTCTTTTAGAGTTTGACTTCCTTATGGTCAGCTCACTTATGATGTTATATTTCATACATTATATTGTATTTCAATGAGTGGATTTTACTTTATGTGATGTCTTCTGTGTGTACCCTCGTTAGTTCAAATGTCATGGCCTCTTTCTTAAAGCTGAATAGTAATTCTTTGTGTTTGTGTGCACACACATCTTCCTTATCTACTAATTCACTAACAAAAATGCAGATAGGTGTTATGTATCACTAATAAGTGATGCAAGGAATACGAGAATTCAAATATCTCTTTGAGATACTCATTTTACTACTTTTAGATACATACCCACAAGTGGGGCTGCTCAAATAATTGGTAGCTCTATTTGTTGTCTTTAAAAAAATCTATTTTCCATAATAGCCATTTCCATTTACAATCTCACTAGTATTTCTTTTTCTTCCACATTCTCATGTGAATTACCTAGGCAGGTGTGAAGCAATATTGCACTGCAGGTTTTGAGTCAGAGAAAGTGATAGATTTTAATGTATTATGGCACTAATCAGTTTCCACTAGTTCACCAGGTATAAAGTTGGTGTGTTACAGGTTCAATGTGTTAGGTATTGCCAATGGAGCACCTGAGGTTACAACAAAAGAAAGCCTTTGAAGGCCAAATGCCCCCATATATTTATTGTATGACTGAAAAATGCATAAGCCATGCAAGGAACTTAATGTGTGGTTCTTGTGTCCCAAGCATATCTCCACAAAACATGAGTGATATGTAGAACGTATATTCTGCAAACAAGATATATTTCTTGGGAGAACTTAGTAAAAATCAGTTTAACATTAATATGCATGAATATCCAGATTTTTCTATAATAAAATAGTTATAAATTAGCTGACAAATGCGTTGCTAATGTAATCCACCTTGTGAGATTCAGGAATGACTGAGAAAAACTCAAATTTATGAAAGGATCATAATGAAAGTAAATAAACAAGTTAAGGCAAGTATGAATATTGATACCATATGCAAGTCAGTGGCCAATAAAATCATTTTTAGGCATGGGTAAACTTGTAGTTTATCTTACCTTTTCTGTAAATCTCACATAGCCTATAAACTCAGAAAAGCTGAATTCTCAAGTAAGATAATGGAATAGGATGTCATGACCTTTAAAATAAAGAATTTAACTTATGGAACAACTGTCAAGTAGTTTAAAACTCCATAAGTTCAAGTTTCTGTGTATATGTGTATATGGTTTAAATGCAATGTGATGTTATATGTGTAAGATGCTGATTATAATGCTAGGGATAAAGTGTTCTCTGAACTAGAATTACTTGATATTTTAGAGCATATATTCAACACATTAATCATACAACTGCTATAATAAAGTTGTAATCATAAAGCAGGTCATATCGTTGATTAGTTTCTCACTGATGAGCAATATTGTTTAAGCATCAAGTTGTTTCAAAATTTTTGTTTGGCTTTAAGTATTCATGCACTTGATGCAGTAAATACTAAAATTTCAAGGTAGACTTAGATTATTTATATTTATATTCAATAGTAATAGATCAACAGTATAGTGATCAGGTTGGTGGAAATTAGGAGGCATCTCATTGCATTTTTTATATAAATGGAAATATGGATGTTGTAGGTACCTCTTTTTCAGAAGATTAGAAACACAGTTTGGGTGGCAGGGAAGTTGAGGAATCATGTATTTTATGAAATATTGCTTTCCCATAACATTTTCTTGCTAGCACTTTGGCATGATGTGAAGTCCATAATGAGAAGCTATTGAAAGCATGGCCTTAGGACACATTCAGATGGACTAGCCAAGGCCAAGCTGGTTTCAGATGTCTACACTTCTCCTGCAGTGGTCATTTTTTCTCCCTCTATAGTCCTACTTAAAGCTCCTGCCTCAGATATGAATGCTTGATTTTAGAACCAGTCTCTGTCTTTGTGCTTAATGTTTATTTTCTCCAAGAAATACCATCTCTAAAATGTACACACATGGCCATGTGTTTAAAACAATTTGGCACACAGGCAAAATACTTTCTGGACATTGGATCATTGGACAAGAGAACTTTGAACTATGGATTAGCCATTTATCATTTTGAACAGTATAATCAACTAGGAATCATCTTAAGTTTTCTTTGTAATATTAGTATAGGGAAAATGTTCTTTCAAGAAAAAATTTCCAGAATGTTTTGAGTTTTGTAACTAAGTAGGCAAGTAAGATGTCACAGCTTCAGATTCATGTCTCCACATTCCAGTTGGATGGCAGGAATTATCTGTAGATGCTTCAGCCTACAATGCTGTGCAATTTAATTTTATATCCTAGACTATTGTTACTTTGACACTCTTTACAGGTATAAGAACATTTATTAATTTTCAGTCTTTTCATGTATCCCTTTGCCAATAAATATTTAAGTTGAATCAGACTTGGTGGCACACAGTGATTTCAACACTCCCAAATTAGAGGCAGGGTCCTGGTCATGAGTTTAAGAGCATCTAGGCTATCTACTGAGACTATACTTCATAATAATAATAATTAAAATAGATAATAAAATTGATTTATTCTTACCTATGAAATATCTTTCAATTAATCATTTAACTAACCTCTCTTCCCTCAGGGTTTTCCTCTAGCAATCCTTCTTTTATGCTTAGTGGGTGATTCTTCTAGAGTTAGGAATACCTACATTAAAACAAAGCAAAACCAATCTCAATAATTCCCTATTGATATTGTTCTCCCTCCCTCCCTCCCTCCCTCCCTCCCTCCTTTCTTCCTGTTGACATATAAAGAAGTGAATCTAATATGGTATACTATAGTATGCTGTAGAGATATCGGTGCATCCATACACACACACAATTACATGCACACTCACATGCCACACACACACTGTGCAATGACCAAATCAAATTAGTGCATATAATGCTCCACATATTCAAATTTTGTTTTGATGAGAGTTTCACTTGACTTGATTTCACTATGCATGGAACTAAAAATTCCAGTGCAGGAAGAGAGTAAATGTAGCTTCTGGAGAAGTGGACAATAGAGAGAGGTGATACTTGTCAGAGCAAAGAAAATTACAGAGACATGGTAGGGGACTATTTTCCATGTCTACCTTTGACACATCCCTTCTGGGCTTTGTGATTTCCTCCATTATGTACCACATATTTGGAAGAATTCCTATGACCCATTCTCTACTAGATAAAAATCAAGGTAAGTTTACCTTCCGGATTTTAGGAGCATCTCCTCTACTATACCTTCACTGCTTTTAAACTTTGTGACTTTAAGAACATTCATTACATGTGCTACAGGTAGAATTTCACTGTGGTTCATTTAACTGACCCCCAGATTAGACTGTGAACCCTTTGAGATCAAGAACCATGCATGCATCATTTAGCTCCGAATTTCTCTATTCTGCTCTTATTAACAGAGTCTCATTCCATAGTTACTGAAGTCATAGAACAAAAGTAATCAATGTTGTTAACACTGAGTAGGTCAAGAGATCTGTTGATGAGGCTCTTTTTGGCATTCCATTATTGACATTTTCCTGTCAATACTGTCTTATTCTCTTCAAATAATAGGGAGAAAGAGTGAGAATGTGTAACATATAAAGGTATTACTGATTATTACAGCTGGAAGACACTTTGATTTGGAAACCACAGTCAGGATTTTCTTGATTGTCAGCATTGCTCAAGGCTTTGCACCCCACTGCCTAGGGCAAAAGCATTTGTTGCTTTTGGTGCTTGAGTTGCTTAATAAGTAAAGTTGCACGTATTCTTTGTTACTTCCAGTTTTACTGCATACTTAATTTGCCATGTTTCTTAGCTTGTCACATCATAATTTGAAATATATATATATATACATATATATATATATATTTCCTTTTTTAAAGCTACTTCAGCAATATCATGTTAGCATTCAATATATTATCCAATATAATCAAAAGATATATTTTAGCATATTTTACTTTTGTGATCTTGTTTACCATCAGGGCTGCCTTTTTTCCTTCCTTAAATCATAGTCCCCAATTCTACAATTTTCCCCTTGTACTCTCTACCTGCTGCTGATAAATTGCACTGTAAGTGTTTTTCCCTTTCCATTTTGTGGCAATTTCATTACTACTTTGCTAAGAAGTACATGGCAGAAGTATCACATTTCAGTTCTTTGTTGGTTCTGAGATAAAGTACCGTAAAAGCCACTCTGTGTATGGCTGGATTTATTCTCACTAGCCAAACAATGGGAACACATCTAACTCTAAGAAAAAGAATCAGAGAAATGTACAAGTCTTTTCTCCTAAAGAAGAAATATGAGGTTTGTAGGAAGATGATGCTTGTATAGTGAGGCAAGTACACATTTGGATATTTAACCATAAAACAGATTTTACTGAAATACAACAAGCAAATACTCATAAAACTTAATCTAAAGCCAAAGGATCAGTACTAGTCTTACTAATTAGTGATAGTAAATTTTTAGATCTATTCTAGCTTATTCTACCCTGTATCATACCATAGTAAAATGTTGTTTTTCTACCTTTTTTTGTACTCTGTATCTTCAAAGTAAAATTGTATACTATGAAATAGATTTAATTTAGAGAATTATTAAAATATCTTTAGCTATATCAACTATTTTTAATTATGTAGATAATATTAGCTCTGAAACTATCATGATTTCCACTTTATATAAGGTACTAAAAATTTTCCCATAACAGATTGACATTATAATCAGGCAAAAGAGATAATTGGGAAATTAATTTCATACTTATTTTATATATACTCCTATGTTTAATTTCCCTCCCTCAAAGAATATTCCCCGTTCAATTTTATTTCTTTAGGTCATAATATTTAGTCCATGTTAAAAGCATTACTTGCCTTAAAATTTTTGCTGTTGTTAGTCATGTAGGCTTCTTGAAAAAGATCTATTCTTGAATAATGATGAGAAACTATAGACAGGAAACAGTTTGGTTGGAGAGTGAATAGAGAAACCAAATGCAAAGGGAGAACAAAATTAAAAGGAGAAAGAATACTCAGTATTAAAGTAAAGTTGGCAGTATAGATACCTTTCTCCCAATTCTCAGCATTCTCTCTGAGATGGGAGTGCAGGAGACTGGACTTGGCTGTCATTAGTTGTGGGCATGTACTCACTGTGATCTGCCTATTCCTTCTATGACAAACCCTGTTAATGGAATATGGTTCTCTGCAGTTTTCTGTCCTCTAGTAAAATCTACTTCCGTCCACTGTGCATGTCCTGGTTGGCATATCTATTGCCCTAGGAATGGCAAGTAGATGCAACAGGATGTGGACTCTCAGCTTGAAATGTTTCTTTAGGTTATTGTGTTAGCCTTTCCAGTGTTTAGGCTTGGTTTTATAGGGTGAAGTTATAGGATATAAACCCAGGAGAAAACCACATTTTATCTTAGATGAAGCAGGTTTACATGGAAATCAGTTCACCAACCATCTTGTCTCAAGGAAGTGACAGAGCTGGGACAAATACCAAAGTTGCTCTATTTGAAAAACTGTACTGTAAGAGATAGTGTACTGATTTCCATGTCTGGCACTTGAGCTTATGCACTACAGGAGTTGGCATAGACTCCCCCCATCATATGCATCTGATAGAAGGATAGTCACAGTAGAGGTCTGTGTCATAAAAAGAGGCCTACATGGCTAAGTCTACAGACTTAGATGGTCTAGACCATGGCTCTAATTCCTAATGAGTCTCATTTAAGAAAGCTCTTTGACAATTATCTTTTACTAGGAAAACTTATATAAATGCTAGAGAGTCCAAAAAGGCTGATGTGAAGTAATCAGGCTCATGCTTGAAAGAACTTGTTTTTTTTTTTTGTTATTTATTTATTTATTTATTTATTTATTTATTTATTTATTTTGGATTGGTTCATCAGGAATCTGGCCAAAGAACTTTAATGGGAAGCTTAGCTTTACAATAGACATCTGGGGGGATTTCATCACCAACCTCAGTCAAATGAGTCAGTCCATGTGGTCAAGAACCTGTATTGACTGTTGGTTCTTGTCTGTTCTGGGTTGTGGTCACAGGTTGTGTGTCCTTCATGCAGTTTCTGCTTTGAGGCCCTTTGGGTACTGGTGCTTTTGTAGCCCTGGGTTCACTGAGGGACTAATTGGTTCAAAGAAGCAAGATGGTATCTCAGAGAATGTCATCCAAATGTGACTCTTACAACCTCACTCAAAGTAACCTTCTGCCTTTGTGTTGATTTTTCAGATTGTCAAATGTCTACTCACCAGTGGATATTAGATGTTATAACTCTTTTTCTTAAACCACATTTTAAGTCTTGAAAGTTTTAAAAGAATTATCTTGTTTTTTGTGACCGATGATAAGGACAGTATGTGTGTGTGTGTGTGTGTGTTTGTGTGTTTGTGTGTGTATGTGTGTGTGTTGACAAGTGAAAAGAAGCCACATTCTCTTTGTAAAACTGCTTTCATTTCTAACATAGTATTGACATAAGCAGTCAAAGTAAATAGGCTATCAGCTGGCACATTTATGCGAGTCATATAGCTTTAGAGCTTATGGTGATTCTGAACCAGAAAAAGAACATAGTGATTAGAAAGTTTAGTTCAAAAGTGGGTTTAGTGTTGAGACATTATTTGCTTTAGTTTAGTTTATATTTGAATTCAATTTGGCTTACTCATGCTAGGAGGCCTTTTCCTCTTTTAGTCCGTGTGTTTTATGTGGATCTTCAGGTCATGCTTGGTGGTTTTTAACCACCCACACCTCCCCTTTTCCACTGTTGAATAAAAATAGAAGTGGTATTTTATCACTTAATAAACAGTGGTGGGATACTGGAGGTGCTTTTAAGAACAATAACAACAAAAGTCATCATTTAATTCGGAGTCTTGCAATAAGGGCTGGAATGTGTGTGTTGGGTAATCTTAGATGTGGGGACATAAATAAACACCCATCTTTTAAATTCTCTTCTCAGGTCACGTGTGCCAACTTAACAAATGGTGGAAAATCGGAACTTCTGAAGTCGGGAAGCAGCAAATCCACACTAAAGCACATATGGACAGAAAGCAGCAAAGATTTGTCTATCAGTCGGCTCCTCTCACAGACTTTCCGAGGTAAAGAAAATGACACAGATTTGGACCTGCGCTATGACACCCCAGAACCTTATTCTGAGCAAGACCTCTGGGACTGGCTGAGGAACTCCACAGACCTTCAAGAACCTCGGCCCAGGGCCAAAAGACGGCCCATTGTTAAGACCGGCAAGTTTAAGAAAATGTTTGGATGGGGTGATTTTCATTCTAACATCAAAACAGTGAAGCTAAACCTGTTGATAACTGGGAAAATTGTAGATCATGGCAATGGGACGTTTAGTGTTTATTTCAGGCATAATTCCACTGGTCAAGGGAATGTATCTGTCAGCTTGGTGCCCCCAACAAAAATCGTGGAATTCGACTTGGCACAACAAACCGTGATTGATGCCAAAGATTCCAAGTCCTTCAACTGTCGCATTGAATATGAAAAGGTTGACAAGGCTACCAAGAACACACTCTGCAACTATGACCCTTCAAAAACCTGTTACCAGGAGCAGACACAAAGTCACGTGTCCTGGCTCTGCTCCAAGCCCTTCAAAGTGATCTGCATTTACATTTCCTTTTATAGTACAGACTATAAACTAGTACAGAAAGTATGCCCCGACTACAACTACCACAGTGACACACCTTACTTCCCCTCAGGATGAGGATGAACAGGGCATGAGACTGAAGCCTGAGGAATTAGAGGTCATAGGACAGGGCTGTTACCTCAAGGAAGAAAGTCACATCTGTTGCCTGGAATGTGTCTACATTTGCTGCTCTTGTTGACTGGTGCGAACACGCTAGTGGAAAACAATTGATGTAATTTCTGCCCAGTCAGCTGCATCTCTCAGCATAGTTGTAAATCACCATAGATCTCAAAGTCTCACCTGAAGACATGCTATCACATATAGAGGCACATGAGCACCCCACTCTTGCACATTTCAGCTTGCATCTCTCATGGTTCCCTTTGAGAGGGCTTTCATTGTCTGACTCATGATGGTTCAGGATAAACTATGATCAAACACAAAGAATTAACTAGACAGAGGATGTGTCTAACACACTGTTATGGAAATCTCTTTTTAAGGTCTTGAGTCCATGCTAATCAATAATCCCCACTCATGCATTCCTTACTGCTTGGAGTAGCTGTGCTGGTGAATACTACAGTAGGAGTTATATGCTTGTTAAATGGAAAAAAATGTGTCTTTAGAGCTCAGTATTCTTTATTTTATAAACACAACAAAGTGTAGTAACTTTTCCCAGCATACAGTAGGCACATTCAAGGTGATCCAGGATGGTTTTTCTTTCTATGGAGGGAAGAGCCCGTTCTCAGTAAAGATGAGCAAACATTTGGAATTTACATGTGGGCAGACACTGGGATTACAGCTTTTCTAGCCTACCACCGGACCTTTGCAATGTTGAGATCAACTAAGGCTGCTTAATACAAGTTCTGATCATTATATAAGAAGGGAAATGCCTGGCAGACACCATGTAAGTTATAAGTGTCTGTCTTATCTTTACTACACATATTGTAACAAATTCAATATCCTAGTCTTCATTTGTATGAATGGTTTGTATTGTATATAGTTTAACCAAGTGTTATTTGAGCTGCTTATTAATATTAAATTGTACTTGTCTCTCTGCTTGTTATTGGTTAAAAAGAAAAAAAAAACAGGATCTGAGGAATCCATTTATTCAATGTAGCTGTGAACTCCATTAAAAAGACAAACTTAATGTACAAAGCATTTACTCAGCTCAAGTATTGTTGAAAGCTATACATATACAACATTACACTGTCTGTATTTAGATATTTTATTTCTGGAAAAAAAGAAATGTACATGAAAATAAAACACTGAAAGTTGAGTTTCAATACGTATTTGTGTAAGATGGTGATTTAAATGGTTCTGACAGGAAGACCGTGCCAGAGCACAGCCGTTGGTTTGCATCTCATGTCCTTGAATTTGAGCAGAATTTCCAAATTGTTATTAGCTGCCCAGTCAAAATGACTTAAGAATTTCAGTCTTAAGCCTGGAAAAATAATTGTGGCATACGACACCACATTCGTTTTTGGTTTATTGGAATGTTAGCTATTCAAGAGTACCAAGAAAGAAAAAAAAGTACTAATGAACATAGGGAGAATATTGTTGTTGGCTAAATTAATTATAATGAGCAGAGTTTCTCCCCTGTACAGTCTTTATTTAGTAGGAGGATTGAAGTGAAGGGCATGTTTCTCTTTAAAAAGGAAACCAAGGTGTCTTGAAGATTGTGGCTGAATATTCCTGAGTCTATTGTGATGACACCATCCAACTGGAGAAATTGGGACAGCAGTGGAGGGCTCCAAGTCTCAAATTGCTTGTACCAGATGAGATCAAATTATCTGTGTGGCATTGTCTATGGACACCAAGCTTTATTTTTTAAGTTGATTTGCACAATCCTAGAAAAATAAACAGCTGAAGAAAAGTAGAAGGTCACTCATTTTTAAGACCACAGATTTGGTGTTGAAATATGAAGAATCTCAAAAGTTACCAAAGAAGCCAAATTAAGAACACTCACCCTGTGTCACTGTTCAGCACTCATCCACTGTCACCCTTCCCATACTGATCAGTTTGGACCTCTTTTTCACAGAGAAAACAACAGAAGGATGACAGTGAAGCAAAGCCACACAATTCTAAAATGAGAACCCAATCACCACTCTGATGAAAGTCTTCATCTGTTAATCAAAAATGTACTTGCTAAGTATTCATCTCTCAGAATCAACTGTCATCTGTAGGCAGCCATTTGTACCAGCGTGTGAATGATCTCTCCATGAAATCTAGAAGCTAAGGTTAGAACAGCTCTGGCAAAGAGGCTGTAAAATACATGCATTCCAGCTGTTGGACATGATTTTCATAAATAAGTCTTACCTTGTACTTATATGTCACTATGACCACTGCTGACTTGCTTCCCAGCAAACAAGAGAGATAAAGGAGAAAAAAAGTCAGTTGATTTTTTTAGGCTCATTTGATAATTGGACTGTGACTTTCATTATGTAGCCTGATGTGTCTTTTCCTAATCCCAAATTCAAAATGAGATGAAAACCTGCTTCAATCTCTACCCCTCTACTCTGTTCTACAGCACCCTCAGGAAATACTATTCATATATCCCTAGAAACATACAGAAAACACCTAACACTGATTAATTTATCTGCTAATCTATAGATTTTTCTTTACAAGAAACACAAAATGAAAACACATAGGCCAAATTTGATTTCAAATGTTTAAAATCTAAACTTTTAGATTCTTTCTGGACCCAAAAATAGGTTTGCAAACTCCTTTATTTTCAACTTTGTCTGTGTATTATACAGAGAAGTCATGGTGACACAGAATCTTTAAGGTTTATGTGTATCCAGTGTATTCTTCCTGTGGTTGCTAGGGCATGGGTAGAGCAGGATCATTACTGTGGAGGCTGCATATATGCTTACTAAAAATTTTATTAGACCAACGATACTTCAGGGAGCTAGTTAACCATGTTTTAACTAATGCTCTTGTTCTGGGGGAAATTGAACTTTGAACAATGATAAGGAAACACCTTCTATCAGATTTTGAAAATTATCCTCCACTTTTATGGAGTTACAAAAGAAACCCCCCAGAAGCCTAGAGCATCTGAATGAAACAAGGGTTTGTCAATCATCTACTCTTCTTAAATACAAAACAAAACAAAAACATCCAACAACATTGAAATTAAGAAAAAAAAATGCATCACTGCAGCTTCTTGACTCACCAAAGAAAAATGATATTGTCAGGTTATCCATTTATGGTTTAAAAAATAACACCATTGTCATAATACAGTTTTAGCTTTTGGGTCCAAGACTATCCATTGTGCTTGAGTGGAAGGGACATAGTCATGAATATTGTGGAAGATGTGTTATTCTGCAAGTACTAGCCCAAATCTTTGCTTCAGCAAGGAACTGTAAGCCATATGTTTTAACAATAGATTTCGACAAATAATGGGAAGCCTGAGAGAGTGGTTTCTTTCTGTTTTCCAACTGCTTTGCCTGGAAAAGCAGCTTACCCAGTACAAACAGCTCTTTGGAAGAGCAATTTGCTTCTTCACCATCAACTGTGAATGCCAAGTTTTAACAAGAAACAAGCGCAAATGAACGTGCTTCTAGAATTCGGAAGGCATAGCTGACGTACCAGCTGCAGACACTTTATTTAACTATCAATCTATATATTTAACTTATTTATCTTCATTTCCATTTAAATTAAATGTAAGTCGGTGGACACCTGTTGAAAAAAATCAAAGCAGATTTGCCTAAAGATGATCACCATTTGCTTAGTTGACAAAAATTGAATCAACTCACACAGCCTGAAGAGAATCCTTAAAAAATGATAACCTGGTCAGCCTTTTCTTTGTTTTCTTTTCTTTTTTCTTTTTTGTTTGTTTGTTTTAAAGACAGGATTTCCCTATGTAGCCTTGGCTGCCCTGGAACTGGCTTTGCATCTCAGCCCTTTGAAGAGGTTTCAGACAGGCATATCAGAGAAGGTTGCTGGGAAACACTGAAAACTTAGGGCCTGCTCTTTGAGTTTTATACCCAATAGGAAAAAATGTTTGAAGCAAGAGACCTATAATTTAAGGTTATTTTTTTCTAGGATGAAAAAAAATCAAGTCTTTAAATAAAGAGTTCTAGTTTTGAGAAAAATCATCCTTAAATGAGCACAACACACATCTGGAAAAGTGTCCCAAGTTTGACCAAAAGAAGTTTAATTTTCATATTTCTATCTTACAGGGATATGCATTTTATCACTGATGAGTAACAGGAAGATGCCAGAGGTACTAGGAGTGTGAGCTGAGATGCCTTCTCTCGGTAGCTTGCAGCAGCTATTGCTAGGGGAGGTTTAGTGCTGTTTCCGTTTTTAACCTGGGATTACACACTCACATCTGTTCATATCTGTCTACTGCTGGCTGTCCTGAAACTTTCTCTATAATTCAAGTTGGCCTCGAACTAGTAGATCTGCTATATCTGCCTCCAGAGTGCTGAGATTAAAGGCGGGCACTACCCCCTGGCCCATATACCTCTTCTTATTCCAACCTGGCTGACACTGCTTTATTATTAAAGAATCTGTGTTAGGACCTCATATAGCAGCTTAAAGTCACTAGTCTCTGATCTTAGATTCTTCTAATCTATCACGGAGGTGAACTTGATACTTGCAATTGTGACTGTTGAAGAAATCGTGCAAGCACTTTGTTACCATGCAGTTGCTGCTAAGTAACTACACTGAACAAGAACACAATTGCTATTATCAAAATTGCTCCTGTAACCTTTCTGAAATCAAAATTTCATATCATATTTAATTATTTCATTTTCTCAGGAGAATGCACATAAACTAACACTTGCTCAGTAGGTTGTTAAAATTTCATGTTCAGGATCCCTCAGACTACCATGCATGTTCCAGCCCTGGTGCCTGCTTAGGTTGAAGTTAACTCTGATTGTCATTGACAGTAAACCAATGTGGCACTCAAGGTCATCTCCCAAACTACTATTTGCAAGCTGATTTTTCATCTGGAGATAGTGGTGTCTTCAAGCTTGAGAAATACGAGACTTGTAAATTAGCAATATATAGAGAGATAATGTAATTTGAATTATGGCAGGTTCCTTCTTGGAGTCTCATTTTAGGAAACTGTTTGC